TAGGGAGGAAAGGACCGGATCCACCCCCATCTCGTGAGGCCCCATGTGTCTCGTCACTGAGGGCCCAAACCTGACTGTCCAGTGTACTCTGGAGGATGGCGGCACCAGGCTGCCAGGAGGAACAGGCTAAGGCACGAAACCTATTCCCACCTGGCGTGGCCCAGCACCAGTAACCTACTGCAGGGACTGGGAGCATTTCTGCCAAAAGCCATTGGGTTTTGAGATTTGTTTCTGAGTCTCTGGGATCATGGCCGTTAAGCAGTTTGATCAGAAACCAGAGAGGCCATGCCTCCAATTATAGCTGAGCCCAAGGTGGTTTGTGGGTGTGTCTCCCACATACCTAACTTTTGGCCGTTTCCTTTCTTGGTAAACTTTGCCCCACGTTTTTGGGGTCTGGCCAAAGGTAAAGCAGCAATTTTGGGGTATTTAGAAGTCTGAAGGAGCCTTCAGGCTGCTGGTGCACTTGCCTCACAGGTTACAGATTGACCTGCTGGCGTCACCATACCCCCAATTTTCCAGAATTTTAATTGGGGTGAGCCACATTCAAGGCAAGCTTCATAATGTGTATACTATCTCTCCAGCACTAGTACTGGTTTTTAAATCCAAGAAAAGAAATGTTATAATTACTGATATGACTTGTAAGAGGGTTTTCACTATGAAGTTGCTGGTAAGTATTTTTGGGGACATACGTGACAGTGTTTGGGGCTTATTCCCGATTCAGTGGTCAGGGATCACTCTTGGCAAGACTCGAGGGATCTTATGATCAAAACTGGGGTGGTTGTGTTCAAAGAAAGAAACTTAACTGCTGATCTATTGCTCTGGTCCACAATCATCTTGTTATTGAGAAAAGAAGAATCTTCTTGGAAAAGATTGAAATGTCCTGGCTTTTCTTAACATGTGTTACTTGGTTTGGGTTTTCAGGGGATGAGAGTGATTTTAGGCCATGCCTGTCCATATTCAGAGGGTATTCCATATTCTATGCTCAGAAATGATACGTGGAAATATTCAGAGGGTCATATTCACTGCCAGAATTTGAGCTGGGGTGAGCCACATGCAAGGCAAATACCATACATTTTGTAGTATCTCTCCAACCCTAGTTTCAGCACTTAAATGAAAGATAAGGAAATTTACTGTTATTGATATGAAATATCTCGAAAATATATCATTAAACTAAAATAATAAGAAAGAAAGTTTAGATTACACTCTCTAATACATAAAATGCTTACAAAATAAGATAAAAGAATGAATCGGTACTAAAAGGAAATGGAGTTCTGGCAACTGGGTGATTGCAGGGCTGGTGAGAGGGAGCTTTCCCTATAATTTTTCTGATAAATATTTTATACTCAAATGTATATACATTTAAAACTAAAAATGTATATGATTTTAAAACAGTATGTTAATACTATTGTAAAAATATGCATTTAATTAATTCTTGAAAAATAAACTTACACTCAGTTACTGTTCTGAATTTGTAGGCATTTCCTTGTAGTCTGAATATTCTTAATTTTACATCATTGAAATACTTTTTCTTAAGTTGATTTAAATGTTCATATATATATACACACACATGTTTCTATCAGACATTTATGGAGAGATCAGTAAAATTTGTGCTGTTCCCTTTGGAATGAAGGACAGATCTTCTGTCTTTTGGCCTTGACTGTTCTTTGCTACTATAATGCAGTCAGAATGTTCTTCATCAACACCTGGAATTTCACCTTATGTGTACTATGGGTCTTGCAGCTCCATACTTATCGGCATGGTTTCATGTTGATGACTGACTCTGTGTTGTGTGGAGGCTTCTCCAGAAGCCAATGAAGTCTTTCCACATCCACAAGGACCACTCAAGACACTGATATACTTTGCCAAATTCTCATTTGTCTATGATTTTTGTATGTGACATTGGTAAAAATAAGGAATTTTACTCTTGGCTAAATCATAAAATCATTTTGTAATACAATGTTCAAATGAAGAGCTTCTTCAAAACTCAATGACATAAAAACAATCAATCATTTTCATGAATGCAATGACTTTGGATATATTAGAGACTTCTTGTATTTTATTTAAGAATGGATCCAGATTTCATTTTTACAGAATGTTTTACATTAATCATCTATTTTCTAGTGTATGATGCCTGGTTTAAGTGTTGGGTGAGCCTTAGAACAGTGATTAACTAATGACTGTTCCATCACCATTACTGTCCATGGTTGATCTCTCATCAATACCATCGAGTTTCAGGATGGTCTAATAACTTTTCCTAGGGATCTTTTTCAGCTTATCTGTGTTTTCTCATTTGTTGGGAAACAGTTATTCCCAACATGCCCAGAGACGTTGCACACCAGATCTGACCAGGAGCCTGGCTATGGGGTGAAGGACTAGCACACAGAGAAACCCCTCAGGGAGCAGTTGATCACAGCTCACTTTATTTCCAAATATACATATTTTTATAGAGGGTCTTGGCTTACAGGATGCCCAGTAAACAGAGATCAGCACTATTGGCCTATTACTTTTTCTACTCTGTTTTGCCCCGGCCCAATCCCTTCAAGGCTATATGTTGCGGTTAGGATGACTCACTAAATGCGTAAGTGACAGTTTCTGCATTTCGAGGCGTTCATGAGTAGGGAGCTAAGGGAGGCTCAAGGCTGGACACATGCTGCAAACACCCTGTTTTGTTAACTTTTCTCAGTTACTTTCTCTTGCAAAGTTTCACTTCAGGGTGGCTTTGCAAGGTCCGGTTTTTCCTTCTCCAGTGCTCGTTGCTCTGTTCAGGAAGCTCTGTGAAATTCAGCTAAGGGCACCCTCTGCAGATTCTCTGGTGATCTCTTTATGCAATTTTGTTATCCATTATAAGAATGTTTAGTGAAATACTCTACCAGTTGGCCAGCTCAGACTCTTAGCTTTCTTGTTCCTCACTTCTCAGAGTCTATACCTCACCCTGTGTTTTCCTTTTCCTGTGTTCTGAAAGCTTTCCCCAGGAAAGTTGGGAGCTTAATTTCTACCAGATATTTCTGTTCTGTCTGGTTCTGGGGGCCAGTGTTCAGGGCTTCTCCTGGCTCTGTACTCATGGTTCACTCCAGGCGGGGGAGATTAGAAACTGCATTTGGATACTGAACCCAGGTTATCCATGTACAAGGCAAGAACCTTACCTATGTACCATCCCTCTGGACTATTTTCCAGTCTTGCACTGTTTGACGTCCAACTTATAAAACACCTTGCTCATAATTTTGTATTTGTTTAGCTGTTTCAGACAGAACAGTTAACCCATTTTGATTGGCGACAGATGTTTCTCATATTTTTTCTCTGAGATCTGATGAACCCCCAGCTCGTAATTATTCTTTAGTGTATTCGTTTTGACCATATGTTTAAAGTTTTTTTACATATACTTCCCCAAATGTACCAGAATAGAAAAAAAACTGCCTTAAATTACTAGATTAAATTTGTGGGATGGGTGACATTTAAAAATGTTATATAGTAATATCTATAAATAATATTATTACATTTTAAATTTTGATCTACTTTTTAAGTCTTAAGTATTATTGCATTATTTATCTTCTTAATGTGATTATCAGCTTAATTCTTAAATGGTTTAGAATATTGTGGGTAATGTGACATCTCATTTTCTTTTGCATTTTATAGCTGGTTGTTGGCATAAAGGGACACTTGATCACATGTTATGAATATGTAGTTAAATTTTTATTTACATTTTATAATTAGTTTCAACTATTTTCTTAGAATTCTCTTTGTACCCTACATATATCTTACTAGCATATTTAATTATATTCTAATTAAAATTCAACAATTAATATTCTTTGCTTTGTTTTTATTACCAAAAAGAATTAATGATAAGATATATTTGTCTCTCACTTTTAAGGAAATAGTATATATATTTTATGTAAGTGTGTTGTTTTCTGTTTGCTATTATTGGGCGAGGCACATTTTAGTAGACAAGTTTTCCTAGAAGTATTTTGTATTTAATTAGATAAAAATGTTCGCCTTACAAGCGGCCAACATGGCCAACCCGAGTTCGATTCCTCCGCCCCTCTCGGAGAGCCCGGCAAGCTACCGAGAGTATTCGATATGCCAGACACAGTAACAACAAAGTCTCCAATGGAGACGTTACTGGGCCCGCTCGAGCAAAAATATAAGAATTTTTATATTTTGTAGAGTCGAGAACACCTAACTGTGCTTGGTCCTTACTCCTGTCTCTCTGCTCAGAGACGACTTCTGATGTGCTTCGGGGACCATGTATAGTTTTAGGGATAGAACTGAGGTTGGTCATGTAAAAGGGAAGACTTTATATTCTGTACTATCTTTCCATAACTGGAGTTAACAGATTTTATTGTAGTGAATCATATCAATAATTTTTCTTTCATGAAGCAAACTTACTAACTTAATTGTTGGTAAACACTCTTTTTTCATTAGGCTTAATACCTAATTTAAAGAACAAAATTATATTCTCTGTTTTATTTCCATCAAGAGAGAAAAAAGTCATCAATGGAAACTAGGACTAATATTTTGTCATAAATACTTAAATTTTAAATTAAGCCATGGCACCAACAATTGCAGTCTTGAGCTACTGATTTAAGATATTTGGAGATATAAAAATCAAAATAGAGATGACAACTAGGAACAAAATTCTCTGATGCCCTGACTTACCAGCTCATAGAACATTAGATGATTTGTGAAATTCCTAATCAATTTCACCCCTACATCTTTACCTCTTTTGTCAAATTCAATTTCCACATGCAAGATCAGATTCTTACATGTTCCATAGTTTTGCATATATATTCCCTGCAGCATAAACTTATTGTTTCAGTCAGAGTTGATGGATGAATGAAACCTAATTCTCCATCTTGTTAGAATTAGAAAATTAAAGTTCACTGGGCAGTTATTGGGGGAGTTATAGCATTGAAAGAGAGACCAGAATAATGTGGTAGGTTTTAAGGAACAGAACACTTGACTACTTACTGAGATGCGATGCCCCATGATAGATCTTCTCAACTGTTTACTTCATCCACACATGTGGTAAAATTGGAACAAAACAGAAAAGATCAGTGTAACCTGTGTGTGAGAATTATCCCAAATTTGAGAGGTATTCCATATTTTCTAAAATATGTATTTCAAAGTTTTCCTGATTAGATCATAAATGTTTTTACCACACTCATAGTAATTATGTCACATAATCAAGATTTTAGCTAACACTACAGTAATAGCCACACTATAACATATAAATGTATCAAATCAGAACCTTGCATACTTGAAATGTATTATATGACAATTATATATAACCAAAAGCAATGAATTAAAAATAAAACAGAAAATATAATTTGAACACTTTCTCTATCACTTTGTCAATGTGCTTAAGATTCAAAACCCTACTTAGGCCTGAGTGATAATACCATGGGTAGGATGCTTGGCTTGAAAGCAATCACCTAGACTTGATTCAAAATATCTAGATAGATTACTTATGGTCATGATTTTATCATTTTATCCATTACTCTTTGTAGAAGTAAGGATACCTTGACTAATGTCCTAGCAAACCTAATCAGAAGGTGAAGAGATTATTTGTGTAAGAAAAATGTTCAATTTTTTAAGTTATATCTATTGTCAACTCCACTCCAACTCCAAACAAGAAATATCCATTAACTTTTCTTAGATAGTTAATAAATAGTGTACATCACTATTAGTGTACACTATTTATTAACTAAGATTTTGTTTTATGCACATAAACCCGTGAAAAAAATCAGTGAAATGACATGCTTCCATAATAACCTAAATTTCAAGGAAATTGTGCCATTTTTTCAAATGCTAACATGAACTTGTTACATTTTTATTTTTAATTTGATTTAATCTGGGGTTGTTGCACCGACCAATACTCAGGGGTTACTCCTGGCTCTGTACAGAATTACTTCTGGCAGTACGAGGGGAACCTTCTGGGATGACAGATCAGCAGCATGCAAAGCAAGTGCTCTACCAGCTGTACTATCTCTGCAGCTTCTGTACATATCAAATTCTTGTCTTAAAGTTGGTGGACCCCCACGGGTGGCTTACATGAGACAATGAGGAAAGGGACCTTAATTTTCTTCCAATCCACCTATGCCACCCTAGTACTGGCTGGAAAGGACTAATGAAGTCTGTAATGAGCCCCTGCATGGCATGAATCTTGCATCCTACCAGCCCAACAATGTGGGTCTCAAGCCACACGTGACGTCCACTTGGTCTTCTCAGTAGGGGAGTTGATTCCTGTCACCCAATTTCTCCGGGAGCCTCGGACTTAAGAAGAAGCAAGGAATTGCTCTTTGCAGGAAATGAAAGTCAGTCCTAGGACTAACCCAGAGTTTCCGGGTACTAAACCAGAGTATCCTGGTTCACAGAAACAAATTTCCGGAGTACACAGCAGTGAAGTAATAATAGATTTTATTTGGAGTGTTTGAGCAAGGGGAAGGAGGGAGAAAAGAGAGGGAGTAGCAAATTCAAGAGAGAATGCCCGCTTCTCCAAAGACCATCTCCCTCAAAGCTATCTTCTCTTCTCAAGAGGGGAGATGTAGACGACAGATATACTTGGGAACTACATGTGCTTGGCCATGTGGTCACAAGCAGGACATGGGTTCAGGAAGCATATGTGTGTACTTCCTTTGTTCAAAGTGGCTTTTATAGGATTTCTCCAATCTGCTCCAAGTATGGCTTTCTAGCTAGGTAACAGTTCATTCCTAGGGGGATAGAGTTGGGATGGTCTCCTGTGAGTTGAGCCACTAAAGTTAATCAGATGAAAGAAACTGCAGGTTCTCAAGGAATTTTCTTCAGGTACTTTTCTATAAGGAGGATTCCAGCCTCCTCAGAGTCTGCTGCTGGAGAAAGTCTTAACAGGTCCTGCTTCTTGTATACACAAGGTGGGTCTGGACAGTCTTAGGATTAGTGGCTTTATTACTTTTCCAAGTAATACATTACTTCATTACCATGGGGCTCTTTCCTGTCTACTGTCCGCCTACATCGGTATATCCTAAAATTTTCATAGAGGCATCCTACTTTTAGCAGAAGTCCTGATATTTATACTAATTCTCACCTTATCTTTCAAACTTCTAGCAATGTGTTAATAATGGGTGCTTAGTTGGTTATTTTTGGAGTTTTTAAGAGAGAAGCAGGATGAAAAGAAAATAACAAGTGGATGGAGATAAGAGAGGAAATGTAAAAGGAAAGAAAGAGGAAAGAATTCAAGAAAAAAAAACAATAAAAATTGACTACATCAGAGAATGACTTGAGCTATAATTGTGTAATGATTGTTATAAATTCGAGTACTCTTATGGTGATAAATCCCTAGTCCTTGAATATCTTTAGTTAACTTTTGAATGAACATTTAATTCTGAAACTTACCCTGAAGAATAAGGTGAGACTATCTTTTTTTGTAAGAGGCACAGACTTTGTACTTCATAAAAGACATATACCCAAAATGACTCTGAGCTTTTAGCATTGCTCACACTATAAACTATACTTTCTTTTCATAGGTTACCCTGGGCCTTAGTCTTTTTATGACTCTTTCACCTCACAGTGATAAGAAAAAAAGATTAAACTAAAGCACAGACAGATGTGGGGGTAAAGGAGACGAGATCAGGTCCACACCTGACTGCACTAAGGACTTACTCCTGGCTCTGTGCTCAGGGACCACTCCACATGGTGCTCCAGGGGCCAAAATGTGGTACTGGAGATAGAATCAAGGTTGGAGGCATAGTTTAAGGCAACTATCTTAACTCTAGTACTTTTACCCTGGCCCAAAGGGACTATTATTTTTTTAATCTTCTCTTTAGACTATCTAATAATGTACAAACAAAATCATCCTATTATTCGTCGATTGCCTCGAGCAGGCCCCAGTAACGTCTCCTTCATCCTAGCCCTGAGATTATATTCAAGGCTCTTTAGGAGAATGAGACCCATCATTGTTACTGGTATTTGGCATATTGGGTACGCCACGGGGAGTTTGCCAGACTCTGCCGTGTAATATGTACAGAGTGTATATTTTAAAATGAGTGAATTTTTCTTTTAATTTATTATCTTGTTTATTGGAGGCATACAGATAGTTTCTTGAAACATATTTTACTTGCTTGGTGTTTGACACACTAGGTAAGTACATTGACTTACATTTGTTCGGGATTTGTATATCCTACTGCTTCCATTGCTACTAGAGCACATTGACCATTCTACTTGAATTGAGAGAAATACACCCTTTGTATATTTTACATACAAACTATGTAGAAGAAAAGAATCAGCAAATAAGACATACTTCCTGCCCTTTTTTATTTTTCTAAGACCAGGTTGGTTTGTCTGCTGTGATGATGGCCATCCCATTAGCAAAGAGCAGAGGGGCAAGGAAAAAGAAGAGGTAGGGCTGAACATCAGTGAGAATTTGCTTGGTTAGGCTTAGTATTTCACCACTGTTGGGTCTAATACTCTCTAGTGCAACCAAACTTCTGGGCATTTCATTGGGAGGAATTTTCTGGGTCTGTGATCTTTCAATGCTAAAACAAACAGAAAACAAAACAGAACAAGAATGGGCAGTTGGAAGCGCTATGCCTTGCTTATTTTGTCAAAACTCACAATCTGATTTTCAAATCTTGTTTAGAACCTTATTTTACCACTTTCCTTACTGGACAGGCTCAGCCTAGCTTTCTAGAAAATAAGCACAGGACTCTTCCATGTGAAATAATTGGTTCTCATTCACATCCCCACTTAATTTGCAGGGAGAAAAAAGAGCTAATGAATAGATATTTATAATCCTGTTTAAGTTTTTCTCTCATATTTTCTCTTAAACTTTGGCACCTGCTACCACTTGTCTGCTCGCAGAAAACAAAAGGAATCAGGAAGAGCAAACAAATATTAATGAGAAAACTCAAAAACAGCTGAGATTCTTAGTTTTCAGCAGCTTTCCTATTCCATAAACATGTGGACACATGGTTTAGAGTTTCTAGTACATATTTATAGCACAGTTGTAGTTTTCAGATAGCAAATCTGTTTCTTCTTCTGAGATATTGGAAAATGAAGACTCAGAAGTAAATTCTAGTAAGTTCAAAGCTTGTGGAACACCTACTATGTACTAACAAGCATGTAATAGATGTTTTTTAAAAAAAAACTCTAAGAGTTCTACACTGAATTACAACTTGGTGGTATTGTAATTCTCTGACACAACTGCATATCCTAATTTTGATGAAGTATACAGATGACAAGGGGAGTCGGGAGTCAGAGTGGGAGGAAGTAACTGTTAAAGTTAACTCCCTCCTACCCGCTTTACCACTCACCAATGGTTGTCATTGGGGTGAGTACCTGGAAAGGTCAGAGTTGGTAAAGAAAACAAAAATCCTGCATGGCATAGACTGATATCTAACTAGCCTCAGTGATGTAGCCATTAAAGTGCACCAGAAACCCACATGATCTACATGGCATGAGAGTTGGTTGGTCACTACCACCTAGATTTGGGGGGGAGACCCGTTCTCAGGCTGAGACATCATTGTGTTCTTCAAAACAAAGGGAGAAATCATTCCCAATCTCCACTTGAGTCTCCGATTAGTTGTCTATTTCTGCAGAAAACAATTTCAGGAGAAAACTGATTGTGAATCACAAAAGTTATTTTTATGGAAAGTGAGGGTTGCTTTGGGGCAATACCCAGTGGTGTACAGTGGTTATTCCTGATTCTCTGTTTAAGACTGATAGCAGTGCCCAGGGTGTGTCTGTGGTGCTGGAGATTATTTAAAACAGCATAGCAAGTGAACCAGGCAGACAAATAGTGAGGGTGGTAGGAGAGCTGGCAATGAATCCTGGGCATGTAATAAAACCAAAGAGATAGAATTTGAAGAAGTAGCTCTGCCTCTACCTCTAAGCAGCTGAAAAATTAGTTCCAGAATCCACTTTGTGGACACAGAAACTGAGACAATGATAAATCATAGGCGCAGAGAAGACTGGATTCCTTACAGGGAGAAGCTCCATCATCTTCTGCTTTCATCATCAACAAAGAACTGTGAAAGGGACACGGAGGAGGACCATCAAAAGTTCTAGACTTTTCTCCTTGACAATACCATCACAACAGACTCTTAACCAGCTAGGAAAGCCCACATGATATGC